AAAATAATGGATGCTCTCGCATGTAAGACAGGGAAAATGAAGGTCTTATCTGTGAAGATTGAAAACACTGAGAAGAAAGTTGATGAGCTCTTATCCAAAAGAGTAGTCACCAAAGGTTGTGTTTCTGATGTTAACTCGCTAGTATCTAATATTGTCGAGGACCATGATCTGTTGATCCCTATCACAGTTCGAAATCATCTTACAGATAAACTCTGTCCCACGTTCGCAATGCTAAATCGCCTTGAGGTTATTTCGGAGTTTAGCTCAATTCCATAACAAAGGGGAGAAACAGTGAAGCCTCCACCTTCAAAAGGATCTATAAAGGGTGAAGAACAAGAAAAAGCGAAGGTATCCGAATCTGAACCAAAAGAGTAATGTATCTTCGGGTTCAAAGGGAAAAGAGAAGGTAACTGAGGAAGAAGAAGAAAATGAAAAATTAAAGTGCAAGGCTCGTGATTCCATTCTTGATGAAAATGTACGCATTGCGAGAGAGGCAGAAGAAAAGGAAAAGGCAGATCGTGACGCTCAAACTGCCTCAACTGCAAAGAAACTGTTGTTTCCCCCGTAAGTTGTGGAGCGAATTTTGAATGAGGCAGTTGACAGTCCGATCCTACACTAGTTGGAACCAGTTACTTCTTTCAAGCTAGAGAATACGCTCGATTCGCAAATTGACTTTCCCATCACACCGAAAGCGTTATTGTTTAGGTGCTTTGATGTTGTTGTGAACACTCCAGATTCTGATTCGAGCGTTGACAAGTCTTTAATGACTTTTAATTTGAAGCATGGTAAACCTCAGTTCCAGACCTGGAGTTCTCAAAAAATCAATGCCTTCATAGTGATTGGCCTTATTCAAACCGAGAGTGTTGTTAATTTCACATTCAAAACAACTCAAGCCTCTGTGAATTCAGTATTTAAGTTCTCTCTTGCAAATCTTCCATGTTTAAGCCCCTATGACTGGATCATTTTGTTGCACTTCTTGATGCAAGACGAGATGAAATATGAACTGGTTGTTTCTTACATCAAAAGGATGTTGGTTTCATATATTTATGATGTAGTGAATTTTGATGGTGAAATCGCTTCGGTTCTGCGAAAGAAACCAACAGTCCTTCCCCAAGGCTCAACAAGAGATATAGAGAAGATGCTAACGGGGAAAATTAAAACCGATAACTGGACGGTTATCCTCTAGAGAGGCTCAAGAGAGAGAGAGGAGACATTCAAAAATGTATATTCATACTGTCGGAGAAGCATCTGTTCTCTACAGTTTGCTTGAACTACATCTTGGACATCACAGGCAGCTGCAATGCGAACGATGCTGCTGCGAAGAAATGTTATTCTGACATGATTTGTTGGTACATCGCCTTTCGTAATTCTTTTCTCAGCGTCATGCCAAATCTATTCAAGACCCAAAAAACTCAAGAATGAAGAACTCTTGCCTCAATTGACGCAAAGGGGGAGATTTTTGGGTATTTTGTGTTGCGTCTTATGGGCTTTTTATTTAGTCTTTTGTGTATCCGGGTTGGGCCTATCCACCTGTGATTAATGATTAGGGTTTTACTATTTAAGGTGTATGCATGCATTGTGTATTAGTTAATTGTGTCATTGTAAACCCTACACGGCTCTTCAACAGCAGTTTTTCAGCAAGTGCTTTTGAGGCTGTGACTTTTAATCATTCGACACATTCTTGATTCATATTCTGTTTTTGATTGCTTTTACTTGTTTGAATCTAATTGATCTTAAGAGTTTTCATCTCATCACAAACCTATAGTAACCAAAAATGAAAACGGAATCGATTATAGTTTTTTGAAAACAAAATCGATGGAGAAGAGGATATATGCTCATGGTTTCCTGATCTGGAACATCACCTATTCCCTTCATCTTCTCCTATTGCAGACTCCTAACCCTAGCATCGCCTTCATCCTTTTTCGACTTCTGACTTCATTGAATGAGCCCTAGATCGACCGCCTCCTCTTACTGCCACATTCATATAACCCTAGATCGATAACAAGTTATTGGTCATTTTAGTACAAAGGGATGAGATTGATGAGGTATGGTGGGGGAATCAACATCCCAATCGACACACAGGAGGGAAATGAAGATTATAAAGGATGGAAGCAGGCATAGGGGACGATGGATTATAAGTAGGGATAAGAGTAAGGGATGATATCGACAACCAATTCACCCCCTTTCAATGACGATTTTCTGTTGATGCATATTGTCGGCGGTGATGGAGACGGTAATGGTGAAAGAGGATATGGTGAAGAAAAAGGAGCGATTGAGAAGATTCCCTAATGTGTGATTTTTCGGAAAAAATATATTTCTTTTAATTGATTAATATTTTAGAAAATAAATATTTTTTTAAAAAATAAAATAAAAAAGGAAAATATAACTGAAATGATGAAAATACCCCTAACTCCTAAAGACATTTGAGACTTAACGGAAGTTTTAGATGAATAGTTAACTCAAAAGACCAATTTTGCATCGACATATCAATTTTGGACAATCTGTACGTGAAAAAAAAAATTGGCCTAAACTATAGTTTTTGATAAACTATAAGGGCAATTTTGCAATTTACTCTTTATTAATTTGTTAGATGAAATGATGTAATTATAACGTTTATATAATATGTATACTATTTTATTGAAATACATAATAAAGCCTTATCTATTTTATTTATCTTTTGAAATGTGTGCCATATATATATATATATATATATATATATATATATATATATATATATATATATATATATATATATATATATATAGAAAGAGAGAGAAATCATTTGAGACTGTGTTAATTTTGTGAGATATGGGGATGAGATCCTAGCCACTTATCTTGAAGATAAAAAAAAAATTATAAAATGCAAAATAAAAGGAAAAATCCAAAAATTCTTTTTTAAGTATTATTTTCAAAAATAATATTTTTTTAAAATTTCAAAAACTTTTATTTATTTTGCATTTTAAAAATATTTTTTTATCTTTAAAATTAAAATGACTAGGATTGTGTCCCTTTGTCTTACAAAATATGATGATCTCACATTAAAATAACTATATATATATATATATATATATATATATATTATATATATATATATATATATATATATATATATATATGTGTGTGTGTATTCCGTCTTTATTTTGGAATTAAATATTTGTTTGGGTATATATAAAAAACGCTTATTTTATTAATTTGATAAATAATTAGAATTTTACCAACCACGCATTGCGACCAGTAATGGATTTAAGTTAAACTTTGAGAATTGTATTGATAAAAAATAAGCATAGTTTAATCTGGTGGTGGATTAATATACAATGTTGGTACCTCTAAATAAATTCAGTTTATACCATCGAATGAAAGGATATTATATGCGACCGAACTCATTTGTGGAAATTTATATAAAAATAAGCATGAAAACTTACACAAAATTAAGTTAAAACATAAAGAAATTTGAATTTATACCGACAGGTTCCTAATACTAAGCACGTAAAGATAATACAACCATGAAATTGTATACAAAATTTATGTTGAAATGTAAAGAAACTTAAATTTTTTGAAGTCAACGCACGAAAGTTCAAAAAATCAAAATTGTATTATATTTGTTCAACTCATATGTAGGAAATATACATAAAAATAAGCATGAAAACATACAAAAAAAATTACGTCGAAATATAGACAAAATCAAATTTATACTGATACGTACATAAAATCAATTACTTTTTAGACAGACAAATGAAACTTCAAAATTTACAACGAAATATTGATCATCTCAAATTTATATCGACTGATATATAAAAACAAACATGTTAAAAATAAATTATTTATTTAACAAATGAAAGTTAATAAGGAAGAATTAGATTATACAAAGTTCAAAGTTAAAAGTTAAATAGGTCAAAGTGACTTTTTATAAAGTTTAAAGTGGAACGCATCAAAATGATATTTTATAAATTTAAGGGGTGCTAGTTGTCGGTGGAGGAGGATTGATGCGAAATTTTAGAAAGACCACGAGGTAAAGATGCATTTTATGAAGTTTTAAGATAAGGGGTCAATGTGATATCTTACAAAGTTGTAGTATGGCAATTATATATATATATATATATATATATATATATATATATATATATCTTAACTATATTATTAAGGATATTGCCCACCTCTTGAAAATTAAGAGGTATAACATATCTTACCTAATGTACAATGACATTAAGCAATATAAGTATTATACTACACGCCTACACAAGGATCATATACTACACCGTACAATAACCTTACCTAATCTCCTAACCACAGCCATCTAACCTATTCACATCGACATGCCCCTTTCCAACTTCATACGGAGGCGGTGATGAACAGATACGTAGATGGTCATGGAGACGGATTAATGAAACTCAGCATCTTCGATCCTCAATCCCATCGTCAGCCTTCAAGCAGTCGAGGTCTTAACATGGCGGATCTCTAGCGTTTCCAATATAAACCCTTTCCCCGCCTTCGATTTTCACCCTAACAGACGTCTTAGCATCTTCAATCCTCAAAGACCCTAAAGCTCTGCCATCTAACCTATTCACATCGACACCACCAAAGATGCCCCTTTCCCCGCCTTCGATTTTCACCCTAACACGCTCTCAGGTCTCAGCTATTAACTGCAATCCCTAGCCCTATAGTGTCCCCTCCATCGCCACTAGACATCGCACACCATAAACAAGAAAAATCCCTAACTCTTCTAGCTGCGACTGAGGACTTCTCTTCAACCTGCATCGAAACCTATAAACCCTCCTTCCATTGACACGCCTTTTACCTTTTCCCCCCGTCTCTGCTGACTGCTCCTGAATTAAGGAACTCCGGTGGCCGACACATTTCCTCCGCGCTCTTCATGGTACTACTTCACCATTATCTTCATCATCATATGTCGTTTCTTTTCTGTCTCTATACTTTTATCTTTTTCTTAATGTAAAATTCAGTTTAGTCGTGTATTTGATTCGTTATATAACCTGAAACAACCTATGATGCCGACAATGGAATTGGATTCGGAAGCGTTTGTGGAGGTGGATCGAGCAGCAGGTACGGATGCTACAGGTTTCGATGCAGGCCTTGAAGAAGTGGTCATGGCAAATATTGAAAGGCTTATATTATCTACACAGGCATGAACCCTGTATCATTCACACAGATCTCAATTGCAGCAACGTCTTCATCAATAGCAATATCGGCGAGGTACAAATATTGATCCAATAAAGGATTGGTTTTAAACATTTTTAATAATAAATATATAATTAATTAATGAATGGATATATACGTATTAGGTAAAAATTGGCAATTTGGGTTTGGCTGCAATAGTTGGTAAGAGCCATTGTGCACATTCAATACTGGGGACACCTGAATTCATGGCTCCTAAGCTGTACGAGGAGGATTACATGGAGCTGGTCGATTTGGGTTTGAGATGGTGACTCTTGAACTGCCTTACAGCGAATATGATAATATTGCCAGAATTTACAAGAAGGTGACATCGAGTCTATGCCCTTCATGGAGGCATTGAGGCAACTATTTTTCTCTACAGGTGAGTTTACCATTACCATACAATGCATCAAAAGTTAATGCATAATTGATCAGAATCTCAAATTTTCTTAGAGGTAAACCTTATAAACCAAAAGTTGTAATATAACTAGAAGGAGTTATTTTTATTTGTAAATGTTGCAAATGTTACTATGATCCTAAAACACAAATGAAATCTTCTGGGTTATTAGTCATATAGACATGAAATGAGATATTAATTCTTTCTTATTTATTTAAATTTGAAATCAGGCGCCATGTATTCATTTGCACAAATAAAACTACACCCAAAAGCAATTGAAGCTACAAGAAGTGCTGGAAAAGTTCGTGATGTTTTCTATTGCCTCAAGCTCTTGGAAGCCACTGGCATTTCTACTGTCCCTGGTTCAGGTTTTGGCCAAAAAGAATGGTAGCTTACTTTTCTCCTTTTCCATTTATACCCTTCTTGTTTATTTATACCCTGGTTCAAGCATTGGCATTTATATGTGTATTGTTTCTATTTATGCCTCCTTAGTTTAATTTATTGTTGATATGGTTTTTGTTTGTTTTCTTGGAATATGATTTTGCATCTTCATGGACTGTATGGTTTATCATTTGGGTATTGTCTCATAATCTCATTATGTCTTTTCCCCTTTACTTCATCATTTCCTTTGTTCAAAAAAGGTCTAATTACCCTTTGATTCCTCTATGGATCCCCCATTTGTAACTTTATTTCCTTTTTGATTAATATATTTGTTTCTAATTTCAAACCAGGTTGATGAAGATGACTACTATCATTGGAGACTCAAGAAAGGGAATATCTTGAAATTTTCGCATGATTCTGTTGCCACAAAATCACAATTAGCTCAATGAAGTAGCGAGTGAAAATTTTCTTATTGCTTTGTTGTAATTTAATGTTGGGTTAAAGGAATATTTATGTAACAACATTAACCAGATGAGGATAAATTCCTACATTAAGTGGAAACAAAAGTTTCCATCTTTTTAATATAACCGAGAGTTTGAGACTAGATGATCAGACAAGGCCTAAAGGGTAATCTTGTCATATCAAAATTAAAGCGTTTTATTTTCTTTTCCATGTATTGAATTTAGCTGATGTCATGGTTGGATCACGAACTCTGATTGGAGGAATTTTTAGACGCTCAGGCCTCAACCGCTTTGAAAGTAATAAATATTTCGATTACACTCTCACTCCTATACAGCTAATTCATAAAGTGTTGTTTGGATAAAATTATATTTGAGGACAAATTTGGAAAAAAGTTAGGAGATAATAATTTTTTATGCAACTTGTTTCAGAAGGAGCGTCTTCAAAGGCTTCAAGAAAGATTGAATATACCATTTGATGAAGAAAGCCTTGAACATCAAGTATATTTCAACACCGCTTTAGATTTTTGTTTATAATAATGAATAATCATTACTTTTGAAAAAGTTAACATAAATAATAATTTATGTTATCAACAGAAAGCTCTTATAGATTTGTGGTATTTAGCATATCCAGATGTTAAACTTCAAGGTTTGACCTCAGAGCAATGGAAGGATATGGGGTGGCAAGGAGCCAATCCATCAACCGACTTTAGGTTCAATTGCACTTTTTTTTTTAATTATTTGAATTTCTTGATAAATACAAATATCTATTTTGTTCATGATAACATATTAGTTACAAATGTATAAAAAAATTTCAAATTGTTTGTTGGTATGATTACAAATAGACAGGTAAAAAGGTCATTTACTCAAACATTACATTCGGTCCAAAAAAGAAACAAACTATTTTATATTCTATCACATCTCCTGTTTTTATGCAAAATGTTTTTCTGATGGAGTTTTTTTTTCTATAGGGTTTGCGCTTTTATGTATTCATTTGGCTACCTGTATGAGTGTGAGTGTCTGACAAAAATATAATTTTTTTAGTGTATACCAATTATAATATCATACTTCGACTAATTGTTTAGTTTTGTAGTCTATTAAAGTATCTTTTTTTATGTATCTATGAAGCTAGGTGTTTATAGAAGCTGGTTGAAGTGTCTTTGTGTGTGTGTTTAAAGAGAAGATGGGTTAAATGCAAGAAACACCAACCTGCTAAAGTATGTTGCTATTTCTAGCATATAGCCCGTTTTATCTCTTTGGTGGAGTAACATTTACTTAGCATTTGATTCTTGGTGACCTATTAGATTAGAAAGATTTTTTAGATTGATTTGTTTTTCAAGAAAGGATGACCTTGTCAAAAATTGCAGATAATAAATTGTGATGATAATTTCCTGTGTTGGATCCACTATTTTGCCCACATTTTCTGTTTATTTGTTTCCCTAATTTATGTTGTAGAGATTCTGGAGTATTACAGCAACTCGATTTTGTGTGTATGTTGTGGTTGACATTGTTTTTGAATTTTTAATGTATGATGTGTACACCGGAAAAACCCACTGACTGGTCATTTTCTACTGTTTATTTGCAAGGTGTCATGTTGTCTCCTTTTTGTTTGTTTTATATTCATTTGACTGTATTTGAAATCCACAACATAAGTCAACATTCATGGGCATATAAAGTCGTAATAATACATATTAGACATTGTATATGGATCAATATGGTTAAACTATGGTAACATATATATATATATATATATATATATATATATATATATATATATATATATATATATATATATATATATATATATATATATATTAAAAATTACTTATTTGCTTTATTACTTACATTGTTCAATATATGTAGGTTATACTGTACCTAATCATACAGACCAATAATTGTTATAAATTCAACTTGAAGTGCATCCTTATGTTGAATATATTGAATATAGTATAATAATTAATTTTAAAATAATTGTATGAATGAAGATTTCTAAAAGATTAGTAAATATATGGCATATTTTTATTAGCTTTCAATTATTTAATTTATTTTGTCCTAACTAAATCTCTTAATTTTAGGATTAATCGAATATTTATTGTAAAATTTAAATTTAAATAAAAACTTATTTATTTTATTTTTTTGAAAATTTTAAACACAATTGGTTTTTGGTTTAAATTCATATAACATACGGTGATTGTTTAGGAGTCCACTTTGTAACGAATAATGTAACTATTTTATTCCACGTTTTACATAAAATATCATTTTAGAAATATTTTTTTTATGAAATAGTATTTTTAATTACTTTTATTATTTGTTTTAATTAATCATCATTGCAAAAGCAATTCTCACTACATAATACAAAAGAAAAAAAAATTCAGTACATGTTTTTTCATGGTAATAAAATTAAAATTAACTTTTATTAATTTTGTATTACATACTAAAATATATCATATTTTTTCAGAAAATAGTTGTCGTGTAAGGCATGAGAGAGTTGTGTGAGCCGATTACATGGTGAAGTTTTTCATTTTTTTTATAACTTCACAGTAGAATGAATATACTACAACTCAATCTAGAATGAATCGTATTAACAAGGAATAAAGTGACAATTATGTTGAAGAATTGGAATAAATGAGCATTTAGGCTACTCTGAGATTCAAACATGGATTATGGAATGACACCAGATTAATATGTAAAAAAAATTAGAACAATGTCATTGATGTCGAAATAGTTGTTGGTCAACATGCTGAAAATTGATTGTTTTTTACAAGGATTCTTCTATGTCCATCTAAAGATGACATATTCTCATTCAAGTTGAAGAGAAAATTGTTTCCAATTCAATTATGTTTCGAAATGACAATCAACAAAGCTCGAAGACAAACAATCTTACATGTAGATACTTATCTTCTGAAATGGATTTTGTTGCATGACCAACTTTATATGGCATTTCCCAGAAGGATATCATGTGTCAATAAAAAATATTAGTGAACTCTGACGAACAATTAAATGGCAGTGATGTCTATACATAAAATGTGGTTTATAAAGAAGTGTTGTGCGACTAATAATGCACAATTAATCATGTGTTAATGTATATTTGTAAATTATCTCAACTTTTCATTTTAAATTCTTATTGATTTCATTTTGCTAACATGACTTTTATATATAATTGTTTATATGTGGTAAACTATTTGCGCAAAAGAACTAATCGTTTTTACCAACTAATTTCTGAAAAAATTTGCTCCCGTCGCTTGGCGCGGGTAAACGGCTAGTATATATATATATATGGGCTTAGGGAATATGTGGTTATCATGTACCTAAGCTTATATATAGAACCCTCCAAATAATGTAGTTTTGATCCATTTATATCCAAACAAATTATGATATCTCTTTTACTATTCTTCTTTAATCATGTGACTTACTAAATCGATCAAATTTATGTTCTTTTTTTTTCATTGTGTCTAAGAACTTAAAGCATCAAAATTTGTGACCATTTAAACAACCCTACTAAATTTTAAATGAAAACTAATAGAATAAAAGATAAAAGAACATGTCATAACTCAATCAAGCTTTTTACAAAATCATTGGATATAATTTTTCAATTGAAAGACAAAACGCTTAAGTTATATTCATTAAAAAATATTGGTTTTTTATTTTCTCTATAAACTTCAATAATTATTTGCAATAAAATATATATAATTGATCTTTTTCATTCCATAATTGAACTTAATTCAATGGTATTCTATTAAATCAAAGTTAGGAGAAAATGAAATTGGATTTGTTTTATTTAAAACTATATCATTTAAAAGGTTCTATACCTAAGTTTAGGTACATAACAGCCACATATTCACTTTTCCATATATATATATATATATATATATATATATATATATATATATATATATATATATATATATATATATATATATATATATATATATATATATATGAAAAGTGAATATACCTTTAAGGGTATATAAGCTTAGGTACCCAAATCCACCGTAATACATCGTTTTGTTTGATATATTCATTATCAAGTTCTTAAACTTTAATTTTTAACTTGATTTAATTTCAAGATTTTCAAAATTTCACTATTATATTTCTCTTAAATCACATCGTTTTGCTGAACACCTAGTAGGCTATATATATTATAATTGAAAATGAAAATTATGTAGAGGAAGATAAATATGAAATTTATAAAAATTTTGCACGTAAATCAAGTTAGAAGTTAAATTATAAGAATATTGGACAATTACAATTTATATATATGAGGTAAAACGACGTAGTATGGTGAGTTTGAGTATCTAGGCTTATATACTCGTAACGGTATATTCACTTTTCCATATATATATATATATATATATATATATATATATATATATATATATATATATATATATATATATATATATATATATATATATATATATATATATATATATATATATATATATATATATATATATATATATATGAGGCGATAAACACAAAACTTAAAAAAAATGAAACTGACATTCTACGAACTCCAAAATCGACCAGCAAAAATGACATTTTAAAAAAA